AAAGACATAGAGTTGCAGAATGGATAAAAACAAGACCCACCTATATGCTGCCTACAAGGGACTCATTTCAAACCCAAAGACATACACAGACTAAAAGTGAAAGAATGGAAAAAGATATTTCATGCAACTAATAGGGAGAAAAAAGCAGGAGTTGCAGTACCTCTCAGACAAAATAGACTTCAAAACAAAGAAAGTAACAAGAGACAAAGAAGGACATTACATAACGATAAAGGGGTCAGTCCAACAAGAGGATATAACCATTATAAATTATGCACCCAATGTAGGAGTACCTATATATGAACAGAATTAAAGGGGGAAATAGAATGCAATGAATTCATTTTAGGAGACATCAACACATCACTCACTCTAAAGGACAGATTAACCAGACAGAAAATAAGTAAGGAGACAGAGGCACTGAACAACACATTAGAACAGATGAATCTAACGGACCTGTACAGAGCACTCCACCCACAAGCAGCAGGATACACACATTCTGCTCAAGTGCACATGGAACATTTTCCAGAATAGATCACATACTATTTCACAAAAAGCCTCAGTAAATTAAGAAGGATTGAAATTGTACCAGCCAGCTTCTCAGACTACTAAAGTATGAAACTAGAATTAAATTATGCAAAGAAAACAAAAAAGCCCACAAACACATGGAGGCTTAACATGTTCTTAAATATTCAGTGGATCAGTGATCAAATAAAAACAGAGATCAAGCAGTATATGGAGACAAATGAAAACAACAACTCAACTCCCCAAATCTGTCAGATGCAGCAAAGGCCATTCTAAGAGGGAAGTATATTGCAATATAGGCTTATCTCAAGAAAGAAGAACAATCCCAAATGAAAAGTCTAAACTCACAATTAATGAAACTAGAAAAAGAAGAACAAATGAGGCCCAAAGTCAGTAGAAGGAAGGATGTAAAAGAGATCAGAGCAGAAATAAATAATATTGAAAAGAGTAAAACAATAGACACAATCAATGAAAGCAAGAGCTGGTACTTTGAGAAAATAAACAAAACAGATAAACCTCTAGCCAGACTTATCAAGAAAAAAGAGAGTCTACACACAGAGACAGCATCAGAATGAGAAAGGAAAAATCACTATGGATACCACAGAAATACAAAAAAATTATTAGAGAATACTGTGAAAAATTATATGCTAACAAATTGGATAACCTAGAAGAAATGGACAACTTTCTAGAAAAATACAACCTTCCAAGACTGACCCAGGAAGAAACATAAAATCTGAACAGACCAATTACCAGCAATGAAATTGAATTGGTAATCAAAAAACTACCTAAGAACAAAATTCTGGGACCAGATGGCTTCACTGCTGAATTTTATCAGACTTTTGGAGGACACCTAATACCCATCCTCCTTAAAGTTTTCCAAAAAGTAGAAGGGAGGGAATACATCCAAACTCATTCTATGAGGCCAGCATTACTGAAACCAGGCAAAGACACCACAAAAAAAGAAAATTACAGACCTATATCCCTGACAAACATAGATGCAAAAATACTCAACAAAATATTAGCAAACTGAACCCAAAAATGGACTAACAGCTACCAAAGAGAAAGGGACTCAGGAGGATGGGTGGGAAGAGAGGGATAAGGGATGGGGGAAGAAAGGGGACATTATGATTAGCATGTATAATGGGGGGAGGGCACGGGGAGGGCTGTGCAACACAGAGAAGACAAGCAAGTAGTGATTCTACAGCATCTTACTATGCTGATGGACAGTGACTGTAATGGGGTTTGTTGGGGGGACTTGGTGTTGCAGGGAGTCTAGTAAACATAATGTTCCTCATGTAATTGTAGATTAATGATACCAAAAAAAAATTAGCAAACTAAATTAAAAAATACATAAAAAATATCATCCATCATGATCAAGTGGATTTATTACAGGGATGCAAGGATGGTACAGTTTTCAAAAATCCATAAAAAAAAGGACAAAAAAATCACATGATCATCTCCATAGATGCTGAAGAAGCATTTGACAAAATTCAACATCCATTCATGATAAAAATTCTCAACAAAATGGGTATAGAGAGCAAGTACCTCTACATAATATGGGCCATATATGACAAACCCACAACAAACATCATACTTAACAGTGAAAAGGTAAAAGCTTTTCCGCTAAGATCAGGAACAAGATAAGGATGCCCACTTTCCCCACTTTTATTCAACATGGGGTAGTACTAAAGGTCCTAGCCACAGAAATCAGACAGCACAAAGAAATAAAAACCATCCAAATTGATAAGGAAGAAGTTAAAACTGTCACTGTTTGCAGATGACATGATATTGTACATAAAAAACCCTAAAGAATCCACCTCAAAACTACTAGAAATAATAGTAAAGTTGCAGGATACAAAATTAATACACAGAAATATGTCACATTCCTATACACTAATGATGAACTAGCAGAAAGAGAAATCAGGAAAAGAACTCCCATTTACAATTGCATCAAAAATAATCAAGTATCTAGGAATATACCTAACTAAGGAGGTGAAAGACCTATACCCTGAAAGCTACAAGACACATATGAGAGAAATTAAAGAAGACACCAATAAATGGAAATACATCCCATGCTCATGGATAGGAAGAATTAATATTGTCAAAATCTCCATCCTGCCTCAAGCAATCTACAAATTCAAAGCAATCCCTATCAAAATATCAACAGCATTCCTCAACAAACTTCTAAAATTCATATGGAACCACAAAAGACCCCAAATAGCCAAAGCAATCCTGAGAAGGAAGAACAAAGCTGGGGGGATTACACCCCCTAACTTCAAGGTCTACTACAAAGCCACAGTAATCAAAACAATTTGGTACTGGCACAAGAACAGACCCATAGATCAATGGAACAGAATAGAGAGCCCAGATATAAACCTGCACATATATGACTGATTAATATACCATAAAGGAGCCATGGATATACAATGGGGAAAAGACAGCCTCTTCAACACTGGTACTGGCAAAACTGGAGAGTTGCATGTAAGAGAATGAAACTGCATTAGTGTCTACCTCTGTACACTGGAAATGGATAAAGACCTGAATATAAGTCATGAAACCATAAAACTCCTAGAAGAAAACATAGGCAAAAATCTCTTGAATATAAACATGAGCAAACAAAAGCAAAAATGACCAAATGAGAATACATGAAACTAAAGAGCTTCTGTACAGCAATGGACACCATCCATAGAAGAAAAAGGCATCTTATAGTATGGGAGAATGTATTCTTAAACAACTCATCCAATAAGGGGTTAACATCCAAAATGTGTAAAGAGCTCACCTGTCTCAACACCAAAAAGCAAATAACCCAGTTAAAAAATGGGCAGAGGATCTGAACAGACACTTCTCTAAAGAAGAAATTCAGATGGCCAACAGGCACATGAAAAGATGCTCCACATCGCTTATTATCAAGGAAATGCAAATTAAAACCACTATGAGATGTCATCTCACACCAGTTAGGATAGCCAACATTGAAAAGACCAGGAAACAAATGTTAGTGAGGATGCAGAGAAAGGGAAACGCTCCTGCACAGTTGGTGGGAATGTAAATTAGTTCAACCATTGTGGAAAGCAGTATGGAGGTTCCTCAAAAAACTAAAAATAGAAATACCATTTGACCCAGGAATTCTACTCCTAGGAATTTTCCCAAAGAAAACAAGATCCCGGTTCCAAAAAGACATATGCACCCATATGTTTATCGCTGCACTATTCACAATAGCCAGGATATGAAAGCAACCTAAGTGTTCATCAGTACATGAATGGATGAAGAAGTGGTACATATACATAATGGAATATTATTCAGTCATGAGAAGAAAACAAATCCTCCCATTTGCAACAACATGAATGGAGCTAGAAGGTATTATGCTCAGTGAAATAAGTCAGGTGGAGAGAGCCAAGTACCAAAAGATTTCACTCATTTGTAGAGTTTAACAACAAAGCAAAACTGAAGGAACAAAACAGCAGGAGAGGTACAGACTCCCAAGAAGGGATTAGAGGTTACCAAAGGGAAAGGATTGGGAAGGGCAGGTGGGAATGGAGGGAGAAGGGGATTATGGGGCGCTATAATTTGTAATCACAATACAGATGGGTCAGGGGGAAGGCAGTACAGCACAGAGAAGACAGATAATGACTCTATAGCATCTTACTGCACTGATAGACAGTGATTTCAATGGGAAGGGGTGTGGACTTGATAATATGGGTAAATGTTGAAACCACAATTTTGTTGATGTGAAACCTTCATAAGATTGTATATCAATGATAGTTTAAAAAAAATAAAGGTTACTCATTTTCTTCTGGAAATTCAGTTGTGCTAACCTCAGCTGTCCATTAAGTGGTGAAACATTACCAACAACTTTTTTGAGTGTCTACTACAAACTTGGTCCTTTGCTCAATATAGAGTAATATAGAGATATACAAATTAGCTCAGGCACTACAAACTTCACATCTAAGAATGAGGAAGTACACATAAAAAGATAAATGGCAGTTCAAGGCAACATGAGCATCATGTGTGACCTCTGGAAATGCAATCTTTTCTGAGAATGGAGGGGTAGTGTGGGTGTAGGAGTGGAGAATCAGTGAGGAGGAGGGGCCATAAGAGTGTCAGCCTGTTCCAGGGCCAAAAAAAAAAAAAAAAAGGATTCCTAGCCCCAGTTATAAATACATACAGTAACTCTTCCTTGGAAAATGGCTAATGCTGGACATAAACATAAGAAACGTGCTCTAGGTCAGAATCTAATGGTCAATGTTTAACAAGATTCCAAAATAAGGGTTAGGGGAAGGGGGAGAATGATTAAGCTAGACATCCTTAAATCTCTCTCTGTTAGTAATCCAGAAAAGGAGGGATGCTAATGGCTTGCTCAGGCCTTTCAGAGGTACAGAAAGTTCTAGGTCACTTTGATTTTTGAGATCACAGGTATATCTGAAAAATGAAGAAATAATAAAACAGATATAAAATTTTTGTATATTAGTTTATATTGAATAAAGTCATTCTTTTAACACATTCACAATTACAACTATTTACCCAGTGGAATTCAGCAATACCTTCCAAAGTTTAAATTGTAGGTTTTTGTGAATGTGCGTTCTCTGTCCTAAGGAACTACCTATATTAATCTTTGGCTCTATCGAAAAGTACTGGGGTGATTCAGGTCCTTAAAAAAGGTGGAATGACTTCCAGTGCTCTTACTCTAAGACTTAAAAAAAGCACAACTTAATACTTGTGCTAACTGAAAATATGGTAGTAAACCATTAGCCAAAAAAGAGAGATAGGTTTAAAACGATGTGTGATCATAGGTCTGATTGCACACCTAAGTGGGCGAGTTGTGAAGGGAAAGTGCCTGAAAGACTGAAGGAAATACCTGGAGATGCTATATGAGACATGAGGTTTGTTGGGACTTAGGTACAGGGAGTCCACGGTTGGCTGGACAAGGTTGCACGCCACTGTTGTGGATAGGAAGGGAACTGTTTAAGTGGGGTGATTAAATGGGGTGAGGAGATAATGATTACCTATGTGCCAGGTTGAGGGACAAAGACTACGTGCTTTACAAGAAGGGATCATTATTGTGTGATCAGCTCTCCAAGGAGCAAAACCTTGGTCAGAGGGGTCTGCCACCCAATAAAATGTTTTCACAGATAAGGTGGGCCTGGATTTGGCCAGCCCCAGGCCATCAACACACCGTATCTAGCATACTGTCTGAAAGAGGGGGCCATGGGGACACATGGAACAAAAGGTTACAAGTGGGCAGTGCTTATCCTCACAAATGGTATGATGAGTACTGTGTTATTTGTGAAACGTATGTCTTTTTATGTGAATGTGTATATGTAATGTCTATAAAGAGACTTATTACAGTGTTAACAGTTCTTATCTGTGGGAGAAGGATTAAGTACAATTTTTTTCTTTATACTTTCCTGTATTTTCTAAAAGTTGTTACAATGAACATGTACATTAATCAAAAAAGAAATTGTGGGAACTTAATGAGAAGAAATTTGCAATAATAACCTTTCTGGCTTGTCATTTCCCAGAGGAATAATTGGCATTCCATAGAAACAGTGACTTATCAACTTGAGCTTATGATTTAGATGACAGGGAGAATTGTGCCCTGCTGTGAAGTGATCTGCATACGGAGGTTCACATCCCAAAGTCCACATAGGAGTTCTCCCTTCCCTTCTGCTGTCTTTCCCATTTCCTAGTTTTCAAAGATCCCCACTGGTTTGAGAATATGGGATTCAAAATGGCTAACTGATTAGGAAGTCTGAAAATCCTTAGAGGGACCATGCTTTGTCAGAGGAAACAACTTGTTCCCAAAGCAAAATAAATAATTTTTATTCCATTAGTGAATTTCTATAAAGAAAGTCAGTATGAATGTTACCCAAATTACAGTCTTGCAGAAGAATTAATGAGTATGAACTTTGCCACAGGTTTCATCTCCTGGAAAATCTCATGTTTCTGGATTAAAGGACATTCTGTGGTAAATGAGACTGGGAAGGGCGGGGATGAATGTTGGTATCAGTTCTAGGCCAAGAACTTCTAAGTATAGAATGCCTTTGATCGTCTTTCTTAGTGGTCTTGGGATCAACCAAACTCTTTTCCCCCTTTTCATGGTCAGACTGAGCCACAGATAGCAGGATAAACTGGAGGTGATGCAAATCAGTGGCAGAGTGCAAGTAATACACTCATTTATCCCAATGACAGCCCCAGTACTCTGTCTTCTGCACCTACTCTATTTTCAAAACTCCTTCCTTAGAGCACTCAAGGATCTCTAGGGCTTCCTTGAAAATTATCACCTACCATGTTTGTATCTTCTCCAGCTCTTCCAGGCTCACCTTGAATATTAAGTCAGGGCTTAGGGCAATATCGTTTCCCTGTTGGTATAGTTTTGAGAATCACTTTTTTGACAGCACTTGAAGTGAAAGAATGTAGGATACAATTCATATATGGTTTTTACCAGAGAACTGAGAAAACCAAATTACTTAGAAACAGGCACATTTCACCAAAATGAGATATGATGGTTTCCAGGCTTATGAAGAGAAGGACAGCGCTCTGTCTTATCCCTTCTGCCGTTCCCTTTTTTACCTAAATGGTGCCTTCAGATTAGCCATTTCCATTTTCTCACCAAACTCTTACTTAAGCAGGTCAGACTTGACCCATACCTATGACTCTGTGAAAAGATCATCATAACCATTTTGCTCTGGAATCCTTGTTCAAAATGTATGCAGCTCACTATTATGGTAGCGTACAATGTCAGATTCATTTTGGGAGTTGTGGATTGTCAGGAGACATCGTCTGGGTCCTCTTTGTGTGCAGTCCCCAAGCCCCTTAGGGATGACTTAAGATGAGTACTTTTGGAATACTTAAGGTCATGTTCTCTTTACCAGTGTGCGGGTAGCTACATGTAGTGGCAGGGGCTAACTCATAAAATGCTATGAACATTTGCCTGGGAAAATAGAAACCCCATACCAAGTCATTTGAGAACCAGGGAGCATGAAATAGCTTTACATGTTAACAGAGGAGCCAAGGAACTATGCCACACTAATGGCTGCTTTGCCCAGTTCCTTGGAGGCTATCAAAGAGAGCCTTTTGTCAAAAAGAGCAATACATTCATTCCTAGTGCTTAGAGGGAAGACCTTTTGTTTTCATCAGATGGATGAAAAAATATCCGTTTCTGGGGGGAAGTACAAAGTGCATCTCAGAGGCCTGTGGCTAAGTCAAAAGCAGTAGTATGAAGTGACCGCTTCCCCTTTGTTGTCCTGGCATTATTGTTTGATTGTAATACCCCTGCTGAAGATATGTGTGTAAAATTGGCAGGAATTTGCCCATATGGATTAATAATAGGGAGAAGAGGGTGTAGTATCCTTCATTCAATGTGTGGAGCAGAGCAGAACTTTTCAGAAGTACGTCTCGTGGACAATAGTGATCTCCACAGCTTTCTTTGGGCTTGACGGGTTGGAAGTATCTTGTTCAACCTAGAGATTGAAAGGACGTAAGAAAGATAAAGGAGAATGACAATGGGCATCTCTTCATATAGCAACAAAGAGATAGCTTGGTATAAAACCTTATATAATTCCAAGTACTCATCATTTTGCCTCTGTTACCAAATAATTAATAGGAAAATTTACTGTGCTTACATATGCCTGCACTGATGGACAGTGACTGTATTGGGGTATGGGTGGGGACTTGATAATATGGGTAAATGTAGTGACCAAATTGTTTTTTCATGTGAAACCTTCATAAGAGTATATATCAATCATACCTTAATAAAAAATTAAAAAAATAAAAGCCTCTTAGCTTGTAAGAGATGTCTTCTTTGTTCTGCTGGCCAGAACAAAGGGGTCCCTCTCAAGTTTAGCAATAAACCTGCTTGAAATGTTGAAAAAAAAACAAAAAGAAAGAAAAGTTACTGTGCTTACACTGAGAGTTTCAGCAAGGTGCATTTCTGAATGAGAACCTGCAATTGGTCAGAAGCTATAACCCACTAGCAAAGAGGCCATCCACTCCATGCTTGAGTGGTTTGCCTTGAATGGAAAAGGCCCTGGGTGTGCAGCTACTTTGGATCCCAGGGATTCTGCTTCATCCCTTGACTCAGGCCCAAACAGTCTCAGGTTTGCAAAGAGACAGAGATCTGGGCCTATATAGGTCAAATATTCTTTACTAGTCCCATTCCACCCTCACTACATCTGATTCCATGTCTCATCTGACTTTGTATGTACTTTCTAGATGCTTACTTGTTATGAATATAGATTGTACATCTCTTGAAGGCAGAGAACTTGGCACATAGAAGGACTTTAGTGAAGTTTTGTGGAATAGGTAAATTAACTAATAAATCCAATGTAGGAATTAAAAGACCTGGATTTTAGTTCTGCCAGCCATGTGATCTTGGGAAAGTCACATACCTCTCTGAACCTCAGATTAAGTATCAATAAATGATACCTGGTTTCTATATCTCAGAGCTGTTGTGAGGCTCAACTGAAGTAATGTCTGTGAAATCGCTTACTATCATTTTTATTAATTCCTTTATCATGAGTAGCTTTTTGTTCACGGGAGAAATTCAGAGGTGGTACTACATGGTTACCCCTAATTCTAGATTAGACTTTTTAGTTCCCTTCAGGCCTATTTCTCCCTTTGGTCAGTAGAAATGATAATGCAGATTGGAGTAAAGAACTAAAAATATATCGTATGATAAAATCATGCTGATATACATGGGCTTCTTATCCAATATTAGCAGAAACTAGATTATAGAAAATATTAACCTAGACCAGAGATGACAAGTAAATTGGCATCAGAAACCGAAGGCACTATGCTAAGAGATTCTGCTGCCATGCCTGGGTGGAAAGAATGCTGTGCTTGTTTTTAAAAATTGAGATATAATTTACATATAACATTGTATAAATTTATTTGATACATTTATATATTGCAATATTATTTTCACCGAAGTACCACAAGTAGCTAATACCTCTATCACTTCATATAATTATTATTACTTTTTTGTGGTGAGGACATTTAAGATCAAGTCTCTTAGCAATTATGAATTATATTATACAGTATTGTTGACTATAATCACTGTGCTGTGTATTAGATATCTAGAACTTACTATCTTCTAGTTGTACTGTGCTTGGTTATTGGTATGTGCAGTCAACATAGATTAAAGAGTGGCAGCATGTATAACATTCTGGACTAGGCAGTCTTTGAGACCCAGTCTCAATGTTGTAATTCTACAAAAGTGGATACCTTCTTTAATTTTTTAAAGTATTGGAAACCTTGTCTCTTTGCCTTAGTGCGTATTTCTAGTATTTAATACTAGAAATCGTATTCAAAGGCTGAGTCCACTTCTGCTGGGGAAATTGAATTTAAAGTAGCTCTGCTGAACTGGTGGTCTAATGTCTAGTTTAGAGCAAAAGGGAAATAGGAATTTATAATCCTGGGGTTCAGAAATAGTCTTTTTAATAAATGCTCTATTGTGTTATGGCTGAATGGATCTTAAGAAAACAGCAATATAAATACCTATTTCCTGACATGTAAAAGAATTAGGCACATTTGCTTTTAACTTAAGCAGCTCCCTGTCTCCCTGTACTTATATGTTGACCTCATTTCTCCAAGCAAAAGACAGACCATACAGAGAACACTTTCCTTTTTGTGCTGAGAGTCAGGCTGGGATTCAGCTGCCCCAGGTTGCTGGTCTTCCTTCCTTTTCATTCTCCACAACCTTTGGCATTGGCATCGCTCTCTGGCACCCTGACATTGACTCTGAAGGGAGAAAGTGACTGATGTCACTTCAGGTGGCTGGCATGCATTTGATTATCTTCCAAACCTCGTGTCAGACTATTTAAGGAAAATTAATCTGTTCCAAAGGATATTCAGTCTTATTGGATCTATCCTCCCCAGAGAACGTCCAAGTACAGTAGAGGAAAAGAACTTGTGTTTAGCAGGCATGTCCTATATGCTAGGCATCTTTCACACAGGCTCTTAATTAATCTTCCAAAACATCATGAAAGGCAAGTATCATTAGTCTCATTTTACAGATGTGGCAACTGAAGTTGGAGAAGTTAAGCAACTTTCTCAAAGCCACTCAGCTAGTGAGTATGAATGGCAGGTCTGCCCAAATTTTATGCTTTTCTCATTATGCCAACCTGCCCATGGAATTGAAGGAAGTCTTCATTGGTTAAGTCCAGGGACCCAATATATCAGCAAACTTACAGGACATGGGACTTCAAAAATGACAAACACTATAATGGTAACTCCACTGAGCAACAGGGTGACAGCAATCAGAAATTTGACCACAATGCTCCATTTCTGCCTCTTCTCTAGGTTCTCATCTGTGTCTAAAAAGAGAGAGGGGAGTATAAGAGGGAAAAGAGAGAATTTGAGAGAGGGAAGAGATCAATCCTTTGACTTGAAAGTCTGGCTCACAGAACTATCAGGGACAGCCTGATTCAGAGGCAGAGGCTGAATTTCTAATTCATACTCAGAGTTAGAAGTGGGGTGGGCATCATAGGCTCTGCTTTAATATCCTTCACAGCCTCTTAGCGAGTCATCTTCCCTGGGATTTGGGATCCTTGCATGATATCAGGGGAGGAAAGGGGGTGCATGCATAAGGAGTTCTAAACTCATCTTTCACCAGCAGCCCTCTTAGGGTCTCTACCCTTGGGCTTCTACAGGCACACTGTATGGGATTAGAAAATCACCTTTCCTATGATCCTCTTAGCTTCAGTGGAGCATAGGAGGAACAAAGGTGAACTGGCTTTGCTTTGGAGTCATAAGCCCAGTTGGGAAAAATGGCTCTATATGCAGCTTGTTATTATTGATCTCATGTGTACTTTTCTTGTGTTGGAACTAGGATCTAACCCAAAGTGGAATCTTACAGAATTTGAGTTCTGGCCACGTTAGGGAGGCTATTTCCAAAAACAGTGCAGATGAAAACATGCATTTTGTTGTTGTCATCACTGCAATGATTGCTTAGTGTTGAAATGTCACCTATCTGTACGTGCAATAGCTGGAATCACCTACCACAGGAATACAGTTTGTTCCATGCTCAAGTCTTGCTACCAGGTGAGCTTATTTGTGTGGAGGTAAAGGATTATTAATAGTGTAAAACCACAAACATTCTGGGACCTTATTTATAGAGAAGCTGATTTTTTCTCCTAAGAAATGGAGTGATTTTCTAATATAGACTCTCTAACTTATCAACCTCCAGGAAAACTTTGGGAAACCCAGACTAATGTTGGGGCTAAAAATGTTTATTATTCTTTCTGTTGTTGTCTCACCCCCATTTATCCTGTACTTGGTTGTTTCAAAGAGCTAGAAAAATCATAAATACTTGTAGTTTTGTCTCCTTCTTTATTCTCAGGAGTTACGGAGGTCATAGTAGTGGGAAAATTCTCTGATGCAGCCCATGTCACCGGATAGACCTTACAATGGGAGATCCCTGGTAAAAAGGCTATAAAACAAGAAAGAAACAATGAAAAGACAACTGAGAAAACTTCATATTGCCCTTTATTTTACCTGGCAAAATTCCAGCTCTACCCAGCTGTTGGTAAACGTCCAGTGTGGCCCCATTGATCTGTCCATAGGTTTAGGGTGTGGGCACAAAATAATGCCAAGAATAAATGAGTATAAAGATACTAATAAGAGATATGGATTAAATCCCCTTGGGACCTTTGACTACTTTAGAGTCAGAGTGAAGGAGTCCACCATATCTTGTTTGCCTATCATTCTTAAGGCTATAATGATAATAAGGATGGAGGGTGTAACACGGTTGAAAGTTTCCTTCTTTAAAAAAGGTGGCTCCAAAGTTCACAGAAGAATGTGAAATATCATAATTTGCCTTAATAACTGATACAAGTCAGTCTAGTAGAGTCTAAGTAAAGTCTAAGTCAACTACTTCAAGAAAGGATAGGGGAGAGTAGAGGTAGAGGGAAGAAGGAAAGGCCACCAAGATTCATGCACTCCTCAAGTTCATTCATTCAACAGATAGTTATAAGTGAATATCTATTATGTGTCATTACTGCTTCAGTACTTTGGGTATATCAGTTGGCTCCATTCTAGCAAGGGAACAAACAAAGGGGAAGGAGAGTTGGGGGATGAGGGAACAAGGGGAAGCAGACAACAATAATACAGTAAATTTTATGGCATGTTTGAAGGGGATAAGTGCTGCGAAAAAAAAAAATTAAAATAGAACAAGGTAAGGGAGCAGTCTGGGGGTGTCGGTAGGCATGGTTGGGTAACCTGCCATATAGGCTGGTCTCCTTGAGAAGGTGAGAATTGATCCAAGATTTGAAAGAACTGAAGAGATTAGCCATGCAGATGCTTGGGGAAACTGCAGTCGGGACAGATGGCACAGCAAGAATAAATATCCTGAGGCAGAGTGCCTGGCATGCTGTAGTTACAGAGGAAGAGCAAGAGACCAGTGAGACTGGAGTGGAGGGAGCAAGGGCAACAGTCATAGGAAATGAGAAAATTTCTAAAGGAACCAGCCCATATCACTTAGGGCCTTGCGGGTTAGTTTAGGGGCTTTGGTTTTTATTCTGACTGAAATGGGGATCTATTGCAAGGTTTTGAACAGAGTGACAGGATAGCTTTGGGTTTTTTTGTTTTTTTTTTTTAATTTTTTAGTTTTGATATCATTAATGTACAATTACTTGAACAACATTATGGTTACTAGACTCCCCCCATTATCAAGTCCCCCCCACATACCCCATTACAGTCACTGTCCATCAGTGTAGAAAGATGCTATAGAATCATTACTTGTCTTCTCTGTGTACACTGCCTTTCCCATGTCCTGCCCCACACACATTATGTGTGCTAATCATATGTCCCATTTTCCCTCTTATCTCTCCCTTCCCACCCACCCTCCCCCTTTCCCCTTGGTAACTGTTAGTCCATTCTTGGGTTCTGTGAGTCTGTTGTTGTTTTGTTCCTTCAGTTTTTTGTTCATTATTATACTCCACAGGCAAGTGAAATCATTTGATACTTGCTATCTCTGCCTGACTTATTTCACTGAGCATAATACCCTCTAGCTCCATTCATGTTGTTGCAAATGGTAGGATTTGTTTTCTTCTTATGGCTGAATAATATTCCATTGTATGTATGTACCACATCTTCTTTACCCATTCATCTACTGATGGACACTTAGGTTGCTTCCATTTCTTGGCTATTGTAAATAGTGCTGCGATAAACATAGGGGTGCGTATGTCTTTTTGAGACTGGGTTCCTGCATTCTTAGGGTAAATTCCTAGGAGTGGAATTCCTGGGTCAAATGGTATTTCTATTTTGAGTTTTTTGAGGAACCTCCATACTGCTTTCCACAATGGTTGAACTAGTTTACATTCCCACCAGCAGTGTAGGAAGGATCCCCTTTCTCCACATCCTTGCCAACATTTGTTGTTGTTTGTCTTTTGGATGTTGGCCATCCTTACTGGTGTGAGGTGATATCTCACTGTGGTTTTAATTTGCATTTCTCTGATGATTGCGATGTGGAGCATCCTTTCATGTGCCTGTTGGCCATCTGAATTTCTTCTTTGGAGAAGTGTCTGTTCAGATCCTCTGCCCATTTTTTTAATTGGCTTATTTGCTTTTTGTTTGTTGAGGTGCGTGAGCTCTTTATATAATTTGGATGTCAACCCCTTATCAGATATGTCATTTATGAATATTTTCTCCCATACTGTAGGATATCTTTTTATTCTACTGATGGTATCCTTTGCTGTACAGAAGCTTTTTAGTTTGATATAGTCCCACTTGTTCATTTTGCTTTTGTTTCCCTTGCCTGGGGAGATATGTTCATAAAGAAGTTGCTCATGTTTATGTCCAAGAGATTTTTGCCTATATTGTTTTCTAAGAGTATTATGGTTTCATGACTTACATTCAGGGCTTTGATCCATTTTGGGTTTACTTTTGTGTATGGGGTTAGATAGTAATCCAGTTTCATTCTCTTACATGTAGCTGTCCAGTTTTGCCAACACCAGCTGTTGAAGAGGCTGTCATTTCCCCATTGTATATCCATAGCTCCTTTATCATATATTAATTGACCATATATGCTTAAGTTTATATCTAGACTCTCTATTCTGTTCCACTGGTCTATGGGCCTGTTCATGTGCCAATAAAAAATTGTCTTGATTACTGTGGCTTTGTAGGAGAGTTGAAGTCAGGGAGTATAATTCTGCCTCTTTATTCTTCCTTCTCAGGATTGCTTTGGCTATTCGGGGTCTTTTGTGGTTCCATATGAATTTTAGAACTATTTGCTCTAGTTCTTTGAAGAATGCTGTAGGTATTTTGATAGGGATTGCATTGAATCTGTAGATTGTTTTAGGCAGGATGGCCATTTTGACAATATTAATTCTTCCTAGTCAAGAGCATGGGATGAGTTTCCATTTATTAGTGTCCTCTTTAATTTCTCTTTAGAGTATCTTGTACTTTTCAGGGTATAGGTCTTTCATCTCCTTGGTTAGGTTTATTCCTAGGTATTTTATTCTTTTTGATGCAATTGTGAATGGAATTGCTTTCCTGATTTCTCTTTCTACTAGTTAATCGTTAGTGTATAGGAATGCAACAGATTTCTGTGTATTAATTTTGTATCCTGCACCTTTGCTGAATTCAGATATTAGTTCTAGTAGTTTTGGAGTGGAGTCTTTAGGGTTTTTTATGTACAGTATCATGTCACCTGCAAACAGGGACAGTTTGACTTCTTCCTTGCCTATCTGGATGCCTTTTATTTCTTTGTGTTGTCTGATTGCCGTGGCTAGGACCTCCAGAACTGTGTTGAATAAAAGTGGGGAGAGTGGGCATCCTTGTCTTGTTCCCGATCTTAAAGGAATAGCTTTCAGCTTCTCGCTGTTCAATATAATGTTGGCTGTGGGTTTGTCATATGTGGCCTTTATTATGTTGAGGTATTTGCCCTCTATACCAATTTTATTGAGAGTTTTTATCATGAATGGATGCTGAATTATGTCAGATGCTTTTTCAACATCTCTGGAGATGATCATGTGGTTTTTGTCCTTCTTTTTGTTTATGTAGTAGATGATGTTGATGGATTTTCTAATGTTGTACCATCCTTGCATCCCTGGGATGAATCCCCCTTGATCATGATGGATGATCTTTTTAAAGTACTTTTGAATTCAGTTTGCTGATATTTTGTTAAGTAATTTTGCATCTATGTTCCTCAGGGATATTGGTCTGTAATTTTCTTTTTTTGTGGTGTCTTTGCCTGGTTTTGGTATTAGAGTGATGTTGGCCTCGTAGAATGAGTTTGGGAGTATTCCCTCCTCTTATATTTTTTGGAAAACTTTAAGAAGGATGGGTATTAGGTCTTCACTAAATGTTTGATAAAATTCAGCAGTGAAACCATCTGGTCCAGGAGTTTTGTTCTTAGGTAGTTTTTTGATTACCAATTCAGTTTCTTTGCTGGTAATTGGTCTATTCAGATTTTCTATTTCTTTCTGGGTCAGCCATAGAAGGTTGTATTTTTTCTAGAAAGTTGCCCATTTTTTCTAGGTTATTCAGTTTGTTACCATATAATTTTTCATAGTATTCTCTCATAATTCTTTGTATTTCTATGGTGTCCATAGTGATTTTTCCTTTCTCATTTTGGATTCTGTTTATGTGTGTAAACTCTCTTTTTTTCTTGATAAATCTGGCTAGGGGTTTATCTATTTTGTTTATTTTCTTGACGAACCAGCTCCTGCTTTCATTGATTCTTTCTATTGTTTTATTCTTCTCAATTTTATTTATTTCTGCTTTAATCTTTATTATGTCCCTCCTTCTAATGACTTTGGGCCTCATTTGTTCTTCCTTTTGTAGTTTCATTAATTGTGAGTTCAGACTATTCATTTGGGATTGTTCTTCTTTCCTGAGGTAGCCTATTTTGCAATATATTTTCCTCTTAGCACAGCCTTTGCTGCGTCCCACAGATTTTGTGTTGTTGAATTATTGTTGTCATTTGTCTCCATATTTTGCTTGATGTCTGTTATTATTTGGTCACTGATCCATTGATTATTTAGGAGCGTGTCATTAAGCCTCCATGTGTTTGTGGGCTTTTTCATTTTCTTTGTGTAATTTATTTCCAGTTTCATACCTTTGTGATCTGAGAAGCTGGTTGATACAATTTCAATCTTTTTGAATTTACTGAGGTTCTTTTTGTGGCCTCGTATATGATCTATTCTTGAAAATGTTCCATGTGCACTTGAGAAGAATGTGTATCCTGTTACTTTTGGATGTAGTGTTCTATAGATGTCCGTTAGGTCCATCTGTTCTAATATTTTGTTCAGTGCCTCTGTCTCTTTACTTATTTTCTGTCTGGTGGATCTGTCCTTTGGAGTGAGTGGTGTGTTGACGTCTCCTAAAATGAATGCATTGCATTATATTTCCCCCTTTAATTCTGTTAGTATTTGTTTCACATATGCAGGTGATCCTGTGTTAGGTACATAGATATTTATAACAGTTATA